GTAATGTGGCCCATAGGCTTTGGGAGTGACTCGTAGTCCACTCTTCTTGACTTTGCCCGTGTCGAAGAGGCGACTGGGTCTTAAGCAGTAATGTGGCCCATAGGCTTTGCCTGTAAGGTGCCGAGCTACCTGTGAGGTGTCGGGCTGACTGGGTGCCGAGCTACCTGTGAGGAGCCGAGCTGACCAGGTGCTGAGCTGCCTGTGAGGTGCCGAGCTACCTGTGATTGCGTTGCATCAGCCTCGTAATGCCGGTCACCCACTCCTACAAGAAGCTACTAGGAGCTCGACCTTCGGGGGCAGCACTACTAACTTTAGGTCACCAACTCACATGGGAGCATTGGAGGGCTCGACCAGCAAGGGTGCCTATGTAGTCTATTGGCCACCAACTCCTGTAGAAGCCACGAAGAGCTCATCTTTGTAGAGGGGACCTTGCAAAGAGGACTGATGAAGTTTTATCTAAATTGAAAGTAAAGTTGGTAGAGTTGCTTAGTCTACTAGCTCCCTGCATAGTCTTTGAGTTCATAAAAAATGTAAACTATAAAACGAGAGCTTCAATTTCTAAAAAGTGAGGACTTAGCTTTCTGGGAGAAGAGGACTTAGCTTTTGTAGGATGAGAACTTAGCTTTTTGTAGCGTTTTCCCACAGTTGGCGCCATATGATGTGACTGTTTCTGGTCACGTACCAATTTTTTGTGATGTATCAATTTTTTTTGCTAAGTACCTCGTCATTTGACATGCTCCCAAGAGAGGATGGTGGAGCTCCCTGGTGGTGAATTGCCTGGGGGGAGAGCTATGCCGAGCTCCCTAATGGCGAACTGCTTGGGGGAGAGCTATGACGAGCTCCCTGGTGGTGAGCTACCTTGGTGGACTCATCATTTGACCTGCTCCTAGGCGGCCTGTAACTTAGAGGATGGTGGAGCTCCCTAGTGTAGCGCAACCCGACTGCCCTCTGCATGAGGTGATCTCCTCTCCTTTGTAGGCGGCGGGAGCTAAGGGACCTGCGAGAACTCCATTTTTTCCTCCTCTTTGTAGGCGGTGGGAGCTGAGGAACCTGCGAGAACTGAATCAGAGGACCCGGGGGTATTTTCCCGATGGGGACTCTCTGATGCCTAAGTTAACATTCTGATTGTAGGGAGCTTGGAAAGAAATGAGAGAGCTAGAGAGCAGGGATTACCTCCATTTTTCCATTCTCTCCCCCTTGTCTTTGGGGGTCAGAGTCCTTATATAGCGGTGTCCTGTCAAATCAAGCATAACCGCCTCTGTCTCTTTGTCGCAGCCGTTACCGCCAGAGCTGAAGTGGTGGGTTCTGGCAGTTGTTGCAGAGTATGGCTCTGCTAGGCAAAGGGACAGCTCTCAGGTCTGGCAGGCACGGTGCCGCCTGGCGAGAGACGTCGGCGCAGGTCTCTGGATCTGTCAGGTACGGTTGTTAGGCAGGAGATCTTTCTGCGATATGCCGAACTGCTCTTCTGTATCGAGCTACCCTGCAAGTGGCAAGTTGCCTTTGGCGAGCTGCCTAGGGGAGAGCTATGTCGAGCTCCCCGAGCTATGCCGAACTGCTTGTGGTGAGCTCTGTCGAGCTGCCTGTGGCGAGCCATGCCGAGCTGTCTGTAAGTGACAAGTTGTGGCAAGTTCTGCCGAGCTGCTCGAGTTGCCCAGTTGTTAAGAGGCTGCACTTGGTTTGCATGAGGTGTCAGGTGTCACAATTTCACTAGAGGGCCAAATCCGCCCTCATCATTTGCCCCCCACTCCCGTGAGCTCCCCGAGCTATGCCGAGCTGCTTGTGGTGAGCTCTGTCGAGCCATGCCGAGCTGTTTGTAAGTGACAAGTTGTGGCAAGTTCTGCCGAGCTGCTCGAGTTGCCCAGTTGTTAAGAGGCTGCACTTGGTTTGCATGAGGTGCCAGGTGTCACAATTTCATTGGAGGGCCAAATCCGCCCTCATCAGGGTGCTTTGCCTAGCATTCATGATTGGATTTTTTCCGATGGTCGTGCTAGTACGACCCTTATTATTGCCCGTTCTTGAGCTTCTAGCACCCAACATTGTGGGTCATTCTCTCGTCTTCTTCTTGTCATCGACTACAGTCTCAGATGAGTCATCGGCTCGCTTTCTATCGATAACCAGCTTCCCATCGACCGCTCATGTTTCTGGTTGTTGCTCCCCTTTCCTATCTACGCTTGTCGTAGTAGAAGCTTTGGTAGAGATTGAACCGCGTTTACGACAGGCAATCATGGGAGCAACAGGCTTTGGTTTAAGAAACATTGAATTCGGCGGTTCGATTTTGGATGGTACTGGAAGAATAGGAAGAGGTGGTGGAAGTGGGTCCTCTGTGGGTTGATCTAATTTCCAAGGTCTTTTCGCCATCTCCTTTCTGACGATGTCTCGAAGTGCAGTTGCAGCAGAGGACTTAGACGAGTTCTTGGGGAAGAATACAATCGCAGGGATGGCAATTTTACGGGAATTTTGGGTATCCAATCCGTTCCAATCCTAATAATACCCGTTTATCAAAACCCTATAGGCTTTGGGATTTTAGATTAAAACCCTATAGGGTTTGGGATGGATTTGTATTTTATAAATTTTAAGCACTAAGATAATTATTCTATTATTAATATTTTATTTGTATAAATTTCTTAGGATTAAAATCATCATTTGATGTAAATTTAGATTTGATAGATTGTTTATTTCATTTAGTTATAAAATTATAACTTTAATTATTTTTTTTTAATTTTTAGTTAGAATTGTTAATCATAAAGTTAATAAAATCTATTTTAGTCCATTAAATAAAACAAAAGGTGAGATGGCTTAGTTGCTTAAAGTAGTGCTAAGAGATTTGGCACTATCATTAATTGATCTAGGTTCAAGTTACACCATAAGCATTAAGAAACGTTTTTATAGTAGAAAACGTTTGGGATTCGACAAAGAACTCGTCTTTAGCAATGTGACTAGCCTTAGTGTGACGACGTCGTTGTTTCAAGATCAAGATGTTGTCAGACCATCAGTGATTGCCCTTTCTTGATATTTTTCCAATAAAAGTTATCTCATTTTGATTATTATATAAAAGTATTATTTTTTATTGATATTAAGGTCAAAAAGTTGCCCTTATCGACTAGAAACCCAAAATTAAATGGGTTTCTTGCAGATAAAGGCAACTTTTTGCTTTTAATATCAAAAAGAGAATGATTTTATATAATAACTAAAATAGGGTAAATTTGAAAAAAAAAATCAAGAAAGAGTACACTGCTCGTCTTCTGCCTCTCGCTCCGTATTCGTGAGAGGTTAAAGTCATTGGCGATAACTATGCCCGCGGACGAAACAACGGAAAACGGAAACCTAGAAGCAAAGTTCTACGGCCATGGTGGATGAGAAAATGGAAACCCGAAACAATGCCAAGCTGGCCATACCGGAGCTCGCCAACATCATCAGTGTCCCAATGTCCCTCAATGCCATTGTCCGGCTCAAGGTCGTTAACGCCATCCGACAAGGTAGTTCCAACGTCCCTCTCTCCGCCTTTGAGATCTTAGCACGTGTCCTCCCAATCGGCGATCCCGACAACCTCTAGCACATCCTTCGAATGCTCACCAACTATGACCTCCTCTTGGAGCACATCACCGACGACTCGTCGAAGCTAATGTAGAAGGCCATATCGGGGGTATCCGTGCCATTGATGGTTCAAAGGGGTGGAGCGCCGGATATTAAAGAAGGCAAAAAGTTGCCTTTGCTAGAAACCCAAATTAAACACGGCCCCTGGCGATGATTCAATATAAAAAAAGAAAAAAAAATATGATATTGAAAAATGACAAGAATAAGAAAATTACATTTTCCAAAAACATGACATATTAATGCAGCGCTATTTTCTAAAAAAACAGCTCCTGGCATTGGCTACCAACAAAATAAAAACATGGCCTAGAATACTAGAATGTACGTACACAATTTGAAAAACGTTGCTTGCTTTCAACCCTCTCCGACAGCGGCGCTACAACTTCGTACCTGAAGCAAGATGGATATTACATCCAACATACGATAAGATACCAAATGTTTCCGCTTTTCTGGTTGAAGGTGGTGCCTTTCACGTGAAGCACTCGGCTGCCCAGAAAAAGTTAAATTCTTTTATCTGCTCTGTTGTGCGAAGTGCAAAGAAATTTATTATTTAGGGTAAATTGATGAAACCTTCCCTTAAGCTTTTGATTGTTGCTCAAATTTTTTCTAAAATTTGGTAATTGCATTTCCCTTCTAAGACGTAGACTTCTTTTATTATAATCTTTTAAAAAGATGCATAAAAATCTTTAAGATATTCATATAGTTAGTTTTGATCAAAATGTTCATTTCCCAATTTTCTCCTTATATAAATGATTAATTCAAATTCTTTCAATTTTTTTTATGAAATTGATTTATTTTCAAAATTTTCCTCCATATCATGCTCAAATGTAAATATGTGACTCTAAATTTCCTATTTTTTATTGTTTATAAACTTTATATTATTTTTTGTATAAATCATCTAAATAATAATTGAGCTGATTTTATACCCCTTTTTGACATTTATAAATTCCCTAATAAAATTGCCGCTGATTTTTTGTATAGATATATTGAACATTTTGTGCCCTTTGTAGAAGATTATAATAGAGCAGGGTCAACTTGTAAATTGCAATAGAACATAGAAAAGGTGATTGCAATTATAAAAAACTTCAGAAAAGGTTTCATCAACAACAGTCATAACTTTAAAGGAGGTTTTAGCAATTTACCCATTAAATAATTTTGGCTTTTTTCAAGTAGGAGGGAATTTTCACTAACAGATAACCGAACTGTTTATGTTTTCAGAGTCGGACTATTCAGAGAATAAAAAGTTTCTCGTAATAATATGGATGACGCGGCTCAATATCCACTGCCCAAAGAGCATTCCCTCCTTTCCAACAAGTAAGACGAAAACTAAACTCGCTGCTACCTTACCTTTTGTGCGCTGAAGCTGCTTTATTGTTTATCTCCTTTTTAAAAGTTACTGCACCAGCTTTTTCGTGAGGCAACTGTGCCGTTGTTGGGCTGCAGCCTGCGGAGCCGAAAAAACGTACACAGAGTTGGACAGAAGCTTTGTTTCCTTCTTTAAGTCACAAAGGAAGAAACGAACGATGGAGTCCAAGCGATCTGATGAGACTTTTGAATTGCGAAGACTTTGTTCTACTCGCCGGAATCCCGTTAGAAGCCGGCCGAGACAAAGCGGTTTCCGGCAATACTGTCAGAATCCCGCTCACTGACTAGTGACTTCTCGTTACCCGAACAACGTCACCGGGAAAACATGGTCAAGGTCTTCTGTCTTTCTTGTTCTCTTCGAGTTCCTGATCTAAAGTAGAAATATATTCCGGTGAGCTTAGTGTAATTGCTTTTTTCCTAAACTTTAATTTGCTTTGAGGATTGGATAGGCAATGGTGTAAAGAAGAGTAGCTAGTGTTGGAATTCCATGAAAGAATGAAGATTCTCTGCATCTTTTTTCTTTGTGCCAGTGTTTGGGCTAGAAATGCTCCTTTTAAATTCTTGATGTCTTTTCTCTTAAAACTTTTGTTGGTACATGCTAATATTGAATTCTCAGATTCTTAACCTTTTGTTGTCGGCTCGTTCCTTTAGGTGATTCCTTCTCTATGTTGAGAATTTGGATATATCTAGAGAGAGGGAGAAGCTCGTAATTCACATAGTGGGGCTGAGTTGATGGGGCATTTGTCATCTCTGTTCGACGGTCTGGCAAAATCTCTTTCCGTCAAAAGAAGAAAGAGATGTGGAAACGATGATGGAAAGGAAGCTGCAGAAGCGATGGCCAAAGAAGCTAAGAAGAACGACCTCATATTGCGTTCTTCTGGCATCGTTAACTCCGATTGCTCCAACAATTTTGTCTCGATCTTCTCTAAGAGAGGACAGAAAGGAGTGAACCAGGATTGCTTCATTGTGTGGGAGGTATGGTTTTTATCCCCTGCTTTGACTTAGGACTTCGATGCTCTTCTTCTTTTGTACATTTTTTAGTAGTTATTAGATGCTTTTCTGTATATACCCAGAAAAAAAAATTGAAATGGTTGGCACAACGTTGTTATTTTACTTTTTCGTTTGTGATTATCTTCAACTGCGGAAGCTGGATTTATTTGTTTTGTTTGGTAGGAATTTGGATGCCAACCAGACATGATCTTTTGCGGGATTTTTGATGGACATGGTCCATGGGGACACTTCGTAGCAAAAAGAGTCAGGGAATCGATGCCTCCATCCTTACTGTGCAATTGGCAGGAGACTCTAGCGCTAACTTCCCTTGATCCAGAGTTCGACCTCGGATCAGATAAGAAGCTTCATCGTTTTGATGTGTGGAAGCAATCCTACTTAAAGACTTGTGCTGCCATTGATCAGGAGCTTGAGCACCATCCCAGGATCGATTCCTTCTACAGCGGTACCACCGCATTGTCAATTGTTAGACAGGTAAGAAGTCATAATTTCGTAATACTAATAAGTTCCCCTCTTGTGAGAGTTTAATTTTGTATGAATAGGATCAGAATCCACTAGACACTTATACCTACTTAATGCGCTAATGGAACGAACTCAATTGCTAAAAAGTGGATATTCCTGAGGGTATTCTTACTGAGTCATTCTCCTATTGATAAGTTGGGAAATAAGAAAACAGAAGCTCCTTTATATAGATTATAGACTAGGCTTATACATAGAAGCCCCATAATCTAATAAGAGCCCCACAAGAAAAATATATACCAAACTAACGTTGTGGAAGAAAAACATTATTGGTTAGTTGGATAAGTTCTGCCTATTATTCATGAATAAATTAGTTCCTCAGTTGAAGTATTGAATGCACTCATAGAGGAACAACATATAACATATTTCAAATGAGTCGGCAACCTTTCCTATTTTCTTAGAAGTGCTAAATCCCAACGAGAGTCCTCTTGATCTGGATAACCAAGAACAGTTTCTTCAAAAATCCTCAGTCACCAATGCTCAACACCATAACCTGAATCAAGGAACAAGTGTATGTATATATGTACGAGTACGATCAACAACTATTCTTTTTACTTGTACAGTAGTAAGTAAAAAGTGTATGTATGGATGTTTATTTACCCTACTTTTAGGCAACTTATATGCAACCTCATTAGCTGATACAAGCCGAGCTGTTTAACCTAGAGATTAAAAATCAGATTTCCTCATGTTAGAAAAGAAGTCATTGATGCAGTTTAATCTTCTTTTTAGTTTCCTCATGTGTCCAGTTTCATGTAACACAGACCATTGATTTTAACCCTTTTGTGCTAATTCTGCCAGATATTTTTGGGGGAGATGGAAACAATCATTAAATTGTTCTGTTCATTGACTATTATAGTTATCTTCTTTATAACTCAGCCCCTACATTTCCATTCTAAGCATAGACAAGTTCAATCAGACTTGGCATAAGCTTTTCAAAATTGATGTTTTGTTCAGGGTGAGCTCGTAGTTATAGCAAATGTTGGTGACTCTCGGGCTGTGTTAGCTACAACTTCTGATGATGGCAGCTTGGTACCAGTTCAGCTTACTATTGACTTCAAGCCAAATTTACCCCGTTAGTCTCTCTCTCTCTCTCTCTCTCAAGACATGCATGGAACTTGTTTAGCCGATTCTTAGCTGTTTATGTTGATCACAGAGGAGGCTGAACGGATAACTCAGTGCAAAGGACGGGTATTCTGTTTGCATGATGAACCAGGGGTACACAGGGTCTGGCTGCCAAATGGGGAAACACCAGGTCTGGCAATGTCTAGAGCATTTGGTGATTACTGTGTGAAGGACTATGGGCTTATTTCGGTGCCTGAAGTCACCCAAAGGAATTTAAGCAACAGAGACCAATTTATTGTGCTGGCAACAGATGGAGTATGTATTCTACCATTTCTAGTGTCAATTATTATTGACCACGCTATACACCAGTAATCCTTTTGCTAATATTTCCAGGGAGGGATTTGGGGATGCTTTTGAAGTTGTGGCTAATTTAGAAACAGAGAACACCCAAAGTTATGTGCAGGACAGGAAAACAGTCAGAACACAATGAAATTGTTGGAAAGTAGGGGGCATCATGTGATCAGTTCAACATATAGGATATATTTATGCCAAAAATTGATCTGCTTCATAGAAACAACCAATGGCAATGTTTTTGGTCACATCCCATTTTTTATAAAGGGGGCTTACCCCTAATGATTACATAAATAGTACATGCTTTAAAAGAAACCATTATAACAATGGTTTCTTTGTCTTTTCACCAGGGATGTGCCCAAATTAGTCCCCATAACTAGGAACATAAAAAATGTAATGATTTGTTTCCTAATCCAAAGGAAAATATTGCCCTTCAGGAAGTTTCTTTTCAAAATATTTATTTATTTTGGAGGTACTACAGCTTATCGGAAAACCGGTACTTAATAATTGTGTTTTAGAAGTTCTTAATAGTCCTCCCTTTCAATATAAATATTTTAAAATGCATATGAGGCTTACAATCGAGGCCCACTTCGATGCAAAGCTTGAGGAAAATGCCTTGAGGTTCATGCCTGAAAGACATTCCTCACAAGTCACAATCTGCATGAACATATTTAAAGAGATATTGTCTTACATTAAAGGCTTTTTAATAGTTACTGAATCGTTTGTAAGCTCCTAATACGTGATCAACTATGAATTTAAATGCTCTTCCTGTATAAAATTATAATTTCTCTTATGCAATATGCATGTTTCTACACTTCATTTTAGTTTCTTGCTTTTCTTAAAAAATGGGAATCCATGAGGTTCAAGACTCTCATCTTAAGGTTTATTCCTTGTGCATCTGAAGTTCCTGGAACCTCCTTTCACACGCATTTTTTATTCATTGATATAAACATAGGTTTATGTAAAAATTAAGTTTGTTTCATGCTTCTCCTTCAGGTCTGGGATGTTATCTCGAACCAACAAGCAGTTGACATTGTCTCTTCAACAACGGACAGAGCAAAATCAGCTAAACGTTTGGTTCAGTGTGCAGTCCATGCATGGAAGCGTAACAGACGGGGTGTTGCAATGGATGACATTTCAGCTATCTGCCTCTTCTTTCATTCTTCTCAACCCTCTCGGCAGGCTAATCTCATTCATTACCACCGCAAGCATGAGAAATAGTAAGGTAGGTTCTCTTTCAATAATTTTATTGGTATACTATAATCATGTTTTTATGCATTGCATTCATAGAAAGTTAGATACCAACCATCTCTGCCTTTATGTTTCTGTTATCTGATTATGCTCTTTCTTTTTGACAGATGAGTTATTTAATCAGGGCAAGTAAACAAGCATGAGTCCATAGAAAGATGCAAGGATGGTACCTGTCTTGATGGTCTGGGCCAACAAATGAAACGAGGATAGCAGGGCTGGCGTTCTCTTCATAAAATATTCCCCAAAGGCTTATCATCATTGTACCTGTTCCTGTTTTTTTTCTCCTTTATCCTTGACCTTTACTCGATTCTTGTTCTTCTAGTGCCTGGACCTAAAAGGGTTATAATGATGCAAAAAAAAAAAAAGGAAACGGTGTGATACTTAAACGTTACGGTCCATGTGTCGGTAGTCCATGTAATAAATGTAATAAAGATCTATTCAAGAATAAGAAAGAAAATCCAAAATCTGGATCTATCTTCGAGGGAACGCATGTAAATGTAAGCCCACCAACACCTGGGACTGTGACATTTAAGGTCCCGTTTGGTTTGCGGGAATAGGGTCTGGAATCGAAATCAGAATGGGTCATTCTAATTCTAACTATTTGGTTAGACAGAATTGAATCCCATTCCCATTTGTGGTGGAATGGTATTTCCCCATTTGAGGGAATGACCACTCCCTCCCCCTTAAGAATGAAATTCCATTCCAGCTGAATTCAATTCCCATTCCAATTCCTGTCTGAACCAAACAGATTATGAGAGTAAATCATTCTGATTTGATTTCAAAGGATTTCAATTCCAATTTCAATTTCAAAGGTGAATCAAATGGACCTTAAGGTTTAATATCCATCTTAAATGTAATGAAATCAGACAAGGATGGTAATTCATATTCTATTGAGGTAGAGATATTCAAATACTTGGGTCAATAAGAACATGATACAATTGACCAATTAGTTGCGTCAAAATTTTAAACACAAATAGGTTTCTTTTTAAAATTAATATAACATATTCTTTGCAACCTGAATTAATACTAAATCATCATGATTAATTTGTTCAAATTAAATAATAAATAGATTTAAATAGTAAAATAAACATTTAACCAGCAATTATCTAAACAAATTCTTACCTTTTATAATAGATTAATCTGAAATTGACACATTCATTAATCATGTTAAACGGGTTGACACGATTTTAACATAAACAAAATTAAGATAATTCTAAATCCACTAATGTTTGAGAACCGAATGACTGACTACAACTAACAATAAACGGTCCATATTGGCTGATACATATCGTAGACCTCTCCAATATGCCCCTATAGTGGGTGTATCGAAGGTCTGACCGGTTAAGGGGTGGAGGAGCTCCAAACCGGCCCCCCTGAACCAATTTTGAAAAAAAATATAAAAAAAAAAAAGATATCAATTCACCCTCTATGCCCCTACCGACGCGTTGGGCATACCAATATTTTGAACCTTGGTCTAACTATAGGCAATTACCTTTGGTTGCTTGTCCAAATAGGCTAATGCTGCATTTGGCATTCCTTATTTAAAGGACTAACCTCCTTTTAACTCCTTTTTGGGGTCAAAAACTCAGTGCTCAAATGGGCATTTTAACCACAAAAGGAGAAAAGTCCTATACTCCTAATGCCAAATGCAGCCTAAACCAACAAAATCTACCTGTCTTAATGGATGAAGGGGCTGAACTGAATGACTTATATCTTCTAGCTTAGTATCAAGTTCAGCCACTTGTGCAAAAGAATGTAAATTTTTTTTTTTCTTTTCTTTTAAGAATGTAAAAGGTTAGGCCCACATGCTGTCCACCCCTCTAAAGATGTCCAACTATAAGCGGTTAAATTTGCTCATGCTAGTCGAACTCGGTTGAACCAACACCATCTACCTGTCTTAATGTTTGAGAACTGAATGACTAAAACTTTATCTTCAAGTAGACAAGTATTCAATTCAGCGACTTTAGCTGTTCTCAAACGGTATTGAGGTTTCAAAAACTCCTGAGAAAAAAATCCAACCGTTTCATCTTGCTTACTCAAAAAGCAAATTTGGTTCACATATGCGTGCACCGACTCCAATGAATTGAGAAAAAAATAATGTTTTGATGCATGGCATGATTCTATCAAGTATCAACTACTGGTATCATTTTTCCTCCCCTAGTCATTTGGTATTGTTCCGGTACAAAATACAACACGTCCTTTATACATGCCACTAATCCCAACACACAATGCAATTAATTGTAAGCTGATTTTTGTGTTTCCCAAGAACCGAAGATTAAACAATCCCTCTTCACTCACTTGCTGCCTTGCTGATATTACATTCGCCCCTTTGCCAAGTTTCAACCTTTACAAAAAGGAAACCCATTGCCAATGAGAGGTCCACCAGTAGAACATCTGTTTTGCAGGCAACTACCCATTTTCTTTGATACCTGATGAAGAGAAGATGCTACCCTGCGATAATCTTAAGGAATGCTGTTTGTCCAACAAGATCAACATTTCCTTGTTGCACTAAGTTCTAGCAACAATGAGTTGCCCAGATTCTTCATTTAGATCATTGCAGAGGCCAAGCCTCATTATGAAGGTAGCGGTACAACCTTTGTCCAAACCCTCACTTTCAATCAAAATATGACCTTTCATGAGATTTACAAACCTGAATCAAATTGTATCAAAGGTGAGATAATTTCCAGGCATTCAACATAAATATCCTAAATGCGTACAACAGAGAGAACTAGAGAAATAATCAAGAGGCCTACAATTCAATGATAGTAGCCCTCTTAGTTACTGTTCAAAATCACCTTTGAAAAATTAAGAGGCCTATGAAAGTTACTGATCAGAAAAAAAAAAAAAAAGAAAAAAATTAAGAGGCCTCATTTGGTGACTCTGCTGCTATTATAGGCCTAATTTGGTGGCTTCGCTGCTATTATATAAAATAGTTTGTAGTAAAACTTCATATCAGTATTAAAAAGCTCTGGTACCAGAAAACTACTAGAAATATATAGCTTAATACTTTACACGTAGCCACAACAATCCAATAGTAGTCAAGCATCAAGCTCTGCCACCTAAGTTCATTAAAATTCTTTTTCAGCACCTATATAAAGCTTGGAAGAAACAAAAAATATTTCACGTAACTCTTCGGAAGTATGATGGTTATTGAATTGTCTGGTAATACCTTTTACTTATGGCAAGTCCAAGCCCTGTACCAACATTGCTTCGACTAGGTCCACTTTGAGATTGAACAAATTTGGTAAAAAGAAGTGGAATTTCTTGTGGACTAATTCCGCAACCAGAATCTTTGACCTGCAGTAAGAGAGTTGTTAGCTTTTTATTTTTTTGATCAACAAGGGAGTTGCTAGCTGCTAGCATTTCATCAAATGCCTCCAAGCATTTGTCATTTGAACAAGGGAGATAGATATATAGAAATTATAGATATGATGACTTATGTTCCAAAATCAGGTTATTGATGCTGAGATGGATACCATGACTGGTTTTTTACATGAATATTTGAGGAAATCATGAAGATAAGGTAGGTGTTAGATCAGCTCAGATCACATTTAAAAGGCCATTACCCAATGTTGGCCCCAGATAGACTGATACGGTCCTAACCTTTGGTATTTTTTTGCTCAAAGTGGGCATTCTCAGACTCAAACCTGCATTCTCACACTTGCAAGCCCGAGATTTTACCATTACACCAAGTAATGGTCCCTACCTCAGATCATAGTTCATTACTAAAAAATTATCCCGCCATACCTAGATTTCCAACTCTAGCTAATAACATCCTAATGGATGCCTTGGTCTTGTAGAAATCTACCACCATTTTAAGACATGCAATAGACACAAGATCTCAAATTAAACTGAATGAAAGAATACTATAATATCCACCAACCTGCACACGTAAGTAGAAGTGATCATCACTTGATACTGGATGGAATTCAGGAGTTCGCCAGTCCCTCAGAGACTCTGGTTTGACAATGGAAGCTGTAATGGAAACATAACCCTCCTTCGTGAACTTGACAGCATTGCCCACGATATTTAAGATGACTTGTATAAGCCGTTTCTCATCACCAACAGCATATACAGGTAAATCCGGGGCCAATATCAATGACATCGACAATTTCTTTACAGATGTAATAGGCTTTACCAGATTAATGACCTACACCATAGATCAAGAAAAGAAAATCAAGAATACTACCACAAAGATGATCCTTGACATGTGTGTGTGTGGCAGTGGGCATATCTGCATGCTGGAATGGGGATAATAGACTGATGTTTTAAGTCTCATAATTCAATACTGAAAATAACTCCATTAGTGTTGAGTTCATCCTGCACTGCCAATCCCAAGCCCATATAAAAAAGGGTTTTGTCAGGCTTAAAGCTGGCATTAAAACTTCAGCCACACCCTTATGAATATGGATCCTGAAATGTCATTTCATGCTCATGCTAGGGAATTCCCAGAAGCAGCGTACTGCATGGCACAGAACAAAGTGGAATGGCAGAAAAGTACTAGACAAGAAGTAGATACCTCTCTGAAAACTGCATGGAGGTTGAATGTTCCAATATCCAATTCCATGCTTCCATCTTCAAGTCTTGAAAGATCTAAAACATCATTAATGAGTGTAGCCAGAAGATTGCCACTCTTTAGCACAGTCTCTACCATCACTCTTTGCTCTGGAGTTAGTTCAGTTTCTAGAAGTAAGGAGGACAGAGCGATAATTGTATGCATCGGTGTCCGCATTTCATGGTTCATAACAGCCAAAAAATCATTGCGAGCATGGATAGCTGCCTCTGCCTCTCGTCGAGCTAAATCAAGGGCAACATTCTGTTCCATGAGCTGATCTCGGGCCCGCATAGACTCCTCTAGAATTGCAGCATGTGAAAGAGCCACCGCAACCTACAACAAGAAGAAAATGGTTCTAAAATAAAAAAATATATTGTGATAAAAGTTATCCTAGGAGGTTCACCATGCAAATTCTGTGAAAAAAAAAAATACTTCCAAGTGTAGGAATGAAGTATGTTTAGGGGTTGATGGAAAAAATACAGTGAAGTGAAGGAGCGTGGTAATCCATTAACTGAGGAGCATTAATAAAGGAGAAAAATTATAGGGCAATGCCAGCTAAGTATGATTTCAAGGCAACTTCATAGGTGAAGAGCCTCAGAATCAATTCTCCAATAAGTGGATAAGACAATCATGATTGATAAGTGAATGTGAAAGAAATTGTTGATAGGTCTGCTAAGAAAGCAAGGACATAGGTATGGGCTGTTATTTTTTGGGGAGACAAGTTTGTGCGGAAGAATCTTATCAAATCAGAAGAGCTGAGTATGATTCAAGGATAAGAGAAGAGCCTTAGAATCAATGGAGAAAAAGTGGATACAGTCATGATTTATAAGAAGATAGATGTGAAAGGGAATAGGTCTGCTTAAGCGAGTAAGGCCCCAGGTATGGCTGTATGGGTTGCTCTTTCTTGGGTAGACAAGTTTGTCCAGAGGAATCTATCAAATTAGAAGAGCATGACACACAGAGGACTCCAGGGGAAACTGAATGGATGGATAATTTGGTGATATCAATAGTTCATAGTCAGGGGAAACATTTTTTTTCAGTGAAGAAAAATGAGAAACCTTGAACTACTAAAATTTCATTAATAGTTTAGTTGGTCTATTTGGAAAGAGGACAATAGAACTTCTGACAAATGCAGATCTGTCAAGGTGGTTTGCAGTGAATTTGAGTGGTGTCTCAATGTCTGTTTTCGGTGGGCTTCAATCTGTAAACCTTTTAAGGGCCTTAGGGTTAGACAATGTATGCCCTTAGCCCCAATCAGCTTGATGTACATTATGACATTTATTGTAAATGAATAAAGTACATATTTGATTCATGTTATATTGGTGTGTTTCTGTGTAATACCCTTAAACTGGACACTTATGAAACTCGTGTTAGTTTAGAATCTTCACAACCGTTGGATAGATCTGGGCAGATTTATCCCACCAAGGCTGACACTGATGTGCCGCCAAGTGGGTTGGGGTAGCTTGCCTCAGCTGCTAGGGTGAGACCTGAGGTACATAGAGTGTGGGTTTTCTTGAAACCCTGAAATAGACCAAATTCCAATATTGCCTTGGACCTTGGAGACAGATGGGCAAAATTGGAATGTTACACCTGACACCTAGACTCGATTATGGAACTGCAATAGGTGTCGGATTGGGCTGTCTTTGATATGCCAATCAGTGAAATCCTTAGAGGGAGTCAAAACCTGAGTATGTTGGGACAGTCCGAGATTTCACCTGAGTGGGTGATCATAGTGATAGGATCAGCCCCTTTGTTGGACAAAGTGAATGATCAGGTAATGCACTCTCTCTGATGGAAACCTAAACTGCCGGTAGTTGATTTCAAACTTGTTGAAATTTGTTTTGCAAAATATATTTATATAGAAATATACATATATATTATGGTTTCACAAAATGTTTGCAAAAGATTTTAAATCCCAAGATCCATGTGAGTAGAGAGTGCAGCATTGTACCTTGCAACCGAGGGAGAGGTCCTCTCTTGTCGGGCAGTATTTGATCATTAAAGGCTGAGAGGTCAAGTATAAGACCATTTAGGGATAATAAACCTGATGGGCTAATCTCACATCTGCCCACAGTCCTTGGGCCTCCATAAGATGGTTAGACCCAATGACCATTTAGTGTAAATGGTGGACCCATTAAGAGCCCATACTGATGGACTCAGGGGTTCATTGTATTCAGCAGTGAATTCAGCTAGGCCTTGTAACAGAGGCAAGGCTGGACCCATGTCGCTTATGTGGAGATCAATGATAGGGTCCCACACCATACAAAGAGAGCCAACCTAGCCAGCATTAAAGGAAGTGAGCCTGAAAGCTTAATGGGCCTAAAGCTCAATTCGAACTAGGCTTAATATGATTAATTAAATAGGGGGTGAATCTGAGTATGGATCAGCATAATAGGATAGAAGGATATATCTTATCCACTTAAAGAGTCCATATTCAAATAGAGATTTGGATTAGGAAACTTCTAATTTGATTAGGAGTAGCTGATCTTGATCTGCAAATAAGATAAGGGATTATCCTTATCACTTAAAGAGTTCAGATCCAAATAAAGATTTGGATCAAAAAACTCCTAATCAAATTAGGAGATTGACTCTTTTAAGGGTTATATAGAGAGAGGAAGGTGAACTGGAAAATGGATACACAGTTCTACTGCTTTCTGCTTCCAGTTCTCTCTCTCTCTACTCTTGCTGCCCTACCCTGTTCGATCTCCACCTCTTGGAGTGATTAAGATTGGATATTGATATTGTTTCTTGATGGATGAAACAATCTTGAAGTTGTGCTCACTACCCTGTTCGATTCTTGCTGAAGAATCTGAGGTTCTTGCAGAAGAACCACTTGCTGATCCTGCCTCACCCTAAGCTGTGTCATCTTCAATGGAGGAAGGATTTGGTACCCTCTTTGGGCGTGAACACCTACATTGGGAGGAGCTTTTCGCGTGGATTTTGTATAAAGTATTCCTCTCCCTAATCTCAGTTTCAGATTTGGTCCAATTTGTTTCAAGAATGAACCTTAAAAAATGCAATTTTTCTAAATTAGGGAATAGGATTCCCGGATGGGAGAAAAATTTCGCTCAGAATTCCTGTATGGTTCGGCCATCCATATGATGGATCTCCCATCCCTTCAGTGGTATCAAAGTCAGGTTCAAGTCTTGAACCAAATCTGGAACAGATCTGAACCACCGCAAATGAGCAGAAACTGTTCTACCTGATTTGCACAAGTTTATTGTTTTTCTGAGAAATTGGTTCATAGTAATGGGTGTGTAGATCTGAATTTAATTCTTTATTATTCTTTAATGATTATAAAATGGTTCTATAATTGTTTCTTGAAATCTTGGGCTGTCGTGTGATGGAAATCAAATTCTTTAAAGGTGGCAGGATTTGCGCACCCTACAAATTTTTATTCTATTCATTTTGGTTTGTAAATAATTTTTTTTTATTTTTTGACAAAATATATAGGATTTGATGTGATGTAATTAATAGAAAATTAGGTTTTTCTGTTTTTTTACGCCTGAAGACTTGTTGGAACACATGGAGGAAGAAAAGACATTTTGCAGTTTGAGAAACCGCAATCTGCGATTTGCAAATAACGATTTCACTATCAGCAATTAACCCTTTGTTTTGCAGCTATGAAATCACACATACAGCAAACTAATATGTATTCTTGCTAATTCTTGATTGTCTTTAATCGGATGGAATTAATTTCATATCACAATTTTGAATTGGATCTTGCAATGGACACCAAACTCTAGGCCGATTTGACCCAAGATTGGTCCAAACTGGTTGGACCAAACCTATGGTTCAATAGGGGTCTATTCTCAGCCCCAAATTCTGATTTGAGCCAAGGGTTTGATGGCCCATTACAAGATGCAATTTGGCCCACCCTGTAAAACCCAGTTTTGACAAGTTAAAACTGCATTAGCCCATTTTCAGCATAATTGCTATATGGGTCAAACTGCCTTTTGCAGTTCAGCCCATATACCTAGATAAAGTTATATGATAATATTATGGGCTTTAATGGGCTGAAATTGATTTAACTAAATTAATTGAAGGTTTTACAGTTGATTTAATTGATTGGATCAATTATGTATTTGTTTCATGCATATGATGTACGATGTGTGATGTGCTATGTACATGGACCATAAGCACTTGGCCCGTGTTAATTTGATAGTGGCTCTTTCACACACCATGGCTGAATGCACATCATTGCCATGGTGTTCTTAAGATCATTGGATGATCTCCCTTCTTGATGGGCCCCACATCAGCTTCCTCCGCAAGAGGAAACGTGCGAAACCCTAGCCCGTTTAGGGTCCATCTGAATCTGACTTTAAGAAAGTCCGTGGGAGCCACTTTGGTTTGACATAAATAAAGAACTAGGGCGTAATTACTCGTTCCCACCAGCAAAATATTTTTTTTTTATCAATAACAGAAGCTTTTATTAATAAAAGAATATGGAAAAGATACAACAAGAAGGGGGTAAAATCTCTTACCCCACCCAAAAAACATCACATTACAATACAGCCCAAAAGAAACTAATTCTTCCCACCCCTTGTTTAGCTAGATAATCTGCAAAAGAATTGGCGCTCCTCTTGGACCACTGAAACTGAATTTGCATGTCTTAAGTGAGCTGGAAAATTTTCTTTTTTTCATTCGAAAACTTCCATAAACTAGCCTCTTCCTTCTGCAGCCAGTTTAGAATCACCCTCCACCAACAGCTTCCTAATATTCAGCTGTTTGGCTCTTTTAATTCTTTCTAATACTGCTGAAATTTCAGCTCTCAGAGAATCCCCCCAGCCTATAGGCCCTGAAAACATAGCCATAATTCGACCTTCTTCATCCCTGAACACTCCTCCAATACCTGGAAGGCCTGGGTTCCCTTCGCTGCTACCATCAAAATTCAATTTAGTGAACCCCATAATTGGAGGAGACCAAGTTGGAACAGTAGCATTAAATAGCCGAGCAGACCAAGCAACTTCTTTCCAATTTCTAATGATGTCTCCTGCTGAGATACCTTCAAAAAGCTCTGTAGACTTGACCCAATGAACCACCCTAATGTAGATTAAATCAATGATCTTCTTTGTTCCTTTCTTTTTCCCGGAAGGTTCGTTGATTTCTTTCCTCCCACACTGACCAACATGCAGCTGCTCTTACACATCTCCACAAGATCTTACCTCTCTTTTTTAAAACCCCTCACTAGAACAGAGTTAAACAAGCTTAGTACACTTGGGGGAGTGGGCCACCTGCAACCAAAAAGAGAGAAAAACCAATACCAGATTTCTGAAACAAAAGGACAGGAAACAAATAAGTGATAACAGCTCTCACCATTCCTCTTACATAAG